AGAGGATTAAGGGGGTGTAACTTCCCCCTTAAATCACTCCTAAGTGGGGTGTAACCTCCCTCCAATCATGGGAAACAGTTTTGGAACTGTTCACGGATTTAAGGGGTGTAATTCCCCCTAAAATCTCTCCATAATGAGGTGTAACCGTCCCCATTAAGTGGAGCTACGGTTTTGAAACCATTCAGGTTCTATTTGAACCAGTCAAACACAAAAACGCGGGTCTGACCCTAGCGTTTTGATGTTGCAATGCAGGTTCGACTCCGGCGTTTTGATGTTACAACGCGGGTCTGACCCCAGCGTTTTAATGTTGACACACGGGGAGGACCTCCGCGTTTTAGTGTTGATGCGTAGGGATGACCTCTGTATTTTGGTCTTAGAGCGTGGTGATGAGTTCCGCGTCTTGCTTCGAAGAGATTATCAACAAGTAATCTCTTTTGTCATAGCGTTGCAAAGATCATTGTCTTGTAATCTTCGTCTTGGCTCCTTGAGAATATGAGAGTCATCAGATTGTAACTCCCGATGTTGATTGTGAAGGCTGTTGATTAGAGCTTTCATCAGTTGTTGTGAAGGTCGTCAGATTGTAACATTCATCAATCTATGTGAAAGTCTTCAAATTGTAACCTTCTGGAAGTCGTCAGATTGTAACTTCCATCATCGGTGTTTTGATGGGGATCAACTATCTATTGTGATTTTTAGACAGCCTACACACCTGTCACCCCATCCTCACCACAAAGCCTAAACCCCACTGCCTCAACCCCCGTATCCCCACTATCCAGTCCAGTGACCCACACTCTGCCCAGTCCAACACCTCTGCCCGAGCCATCCCCACCCCTAGTCCTCTATCACCCGAGGCCCCACCTCCATCGTGTACTATCACCATCTGATCAATGAATAATATCTTTAAGCCTATTCAAAAACTTAACCTCATTGCCCAACTTCCTCCTCTTTCTGAAACCGAACCGACAATTGTGTCACAGGCTCTTTCTCATTCCTCTTGGCGACAAGCCATTGTTGACCCTATAGTTTTGATGATGATTTGTCAAACAATATATTCTCTAGTTTTGTGTTTATGTTTTTCTTTACAGGTATTTCAACACACGTCAATCAAGCGTTAAAGATTCAAGTTCATGTGTGTGGATTTACCTAGGTATAAGTTTAGTTTACTTACATATATTGTATGATTAGATCTAAGCTCAATATATGTACACTTAACACGATTTTTAACGTTTTCTATCATATAAATATTTTTTCATCAAACGTTGTTACAATATCTTATATCTTATGTTTACAGCTCTTTCATAATTCATTATAAACATATAATATATACATACATATTTACAAGCCTTATGTTAATTTTTATGTTCACGAAAAACAGGTTTTCTGAACACTTTTTAAAAACAGGGAGTTTTCACAAACGAAAATTAATTTTCCAAAAATTTCTTTTCAAACATGTTTATTTCATCATTTAGAAATTTCCCCAAAGTTTCACTATTTTTGGAATTGATTTGATATTTTTAATGAATTTTCAAAATAGCCCAAAAACCTGTCATATGAGATATATCAGTTTCCGATCGACCGCCAATGGTATATTTCCTTGGCATGGCCTTTTTGTGCTCGCGGTTGACCGTGAAAACATCCAGAGACTTTCGCGGTCGACCGTCGCGATCGACCGCCAGCCTTATTTTCTCATACCCTGTGTTTTTGAGCTTCACGGTCGACCGCACCGGTCGACCGCCACTCTGTCAGATCAATCCCAACGGCTAGTTTCCAAAGCCATTGCAGTGTGGTTTTTTGGTCTTTTTCTTGGCTTTCTCTTGGCTTTGGGGTTTGTATAAATACCCCCTTTTACCTTCAGCTCTATACACAACAAGAGAATGTTTTAAAGAGTTTAAAAAGAGTTTAAGCTTGTTTTAAGCTTGTTTAAGGGTTTGGTTTATGAAGAAAGTTTTACAAGAGCTTGAGGAGATTATCAATTGTATTTTGGGCATTCAATCCATCTCTCTCTCTCTCTTGTCATCTAGAGAAGTTTTCCTAAACTCAACTCTAGCTTTTATTTATAATTATTTGTTGATTATCATTTCTATTAAAGCAAGTTTTATTTTGAGTTAGATTTGATTTTATCTCATTGTTACACACACCCACTTGAGCTTATTGTATTTACATTCATAATATATTTTGGGTTGGTGAGAGTTGTAACAATTGAGTGTGAGCTTTTATTGTGTTCTCATCCATAGTAGAGAACAAACATTTATTGTATTGAGCCTTATTGTGAGATTCACTTTGTAATACTCTTGTACACCGAGAGAAGTGTGTGGGGAGAGTCGGGGATCGTCCCAAGAGGAGTGGCGTCGGTTGACGAACCTAGGGAGAGGTTATAACCGAGCACTTGAGGGAGACACGTCTAGTTCAACACTTAGTGGGTGTAGAGTGGGATTACAATAGTGTGTTGTTGTGAAGTTTTCGGTTAGCTAGAAAACCGAGTGTGAGGTGTAAACGTTGTTCGGGTGAACGTAGAAAACCCGGTTGAGATAGTGGAGATCTCCTCGAGGTGAGGAGCGGAGACGTAGGTCCTCATTCCTCTTGACGACAAGCCATGTCCAATGAATTTATGGCCCTTGTTCGCAATGGAACATGGACATTGGTTCCCCCGTCTCCTTCTCAAAATGTTATAAGATACAAATGGGTCTTTCGTATCAAAAGGAAACCCGGCGGTTCTGTGGATAGGTACAAAGCTTGGTTAGTGGCTAAGGGTTTTCATCAACGGCCAAGGGTGGACTATAGTGAGACATTCAGTCCAGTTATTAAACCAATCACTATCCGCCTAGTTCTCTCACTTGCGATCAGCCAATCATGGCCTCTCCGACAGCTTGATGTCAATAACGCCTTCTTACAAGGCACTCTCCATGATTAGGTTTTCATGATGCAACCGTTAGGGTTTATTGACAAGGATCACCCTGACCATGTTTGCTCTCTCCGAAAAACTCTCTATGGCCTCAAGCAGGCTCCAAGAGCTTGATACCAAGAATTGCTTGACTATTTGCTCTCTCTTGGATTTTATAACTCTCTAGCAGATGTATCTCTGTTTATCTTCTCTGATGCAGGTATCACTCTCTATATTCTAATCTATGTGGATGACATTATCGTCACTGGTAATAATTTGGCCCGGGTTGACTCCATTATTGCCTTACTTGGTCGTCGTTTCTCCGTCAAAGATCTTGGTCCACTTTATTTTTTTGGGTGTAGAAGTTGTCCTGCATTCTCTTGGTATTGTTCTATCTCAGCGCCACTATATTCTGGATCTTCTCACACGGACCAAGATGGTCCCGTCCCGTCCTGTCCGTACCCCTAGCGACGGTGACCTCTCTCTGACATGACAGTGGTGTACCACTCTCGGACGGTCATGACTACCGCAACATCATTGACGGCCTCCAATATCTTGCCCTCACTCGTCCTGACATCTCCTATGCTGTCAACAAGCTGTCCCAATTCATGCAAGCTCCAACCACTGATCACTTGAATGCTGCAAAACGGGTCCTTCGCTATCTCCAGGGGACTATTGATCAAGGTCTTCTTCTTCGTCGTCAAAGTCATCTCTCTCTTCATGCTTACTCGGACGCTGACTGGGCCGGTGATAAGGATGATTTCTCCTCCACCAACACGTACATCATTTTCCTGGGCCATAACACTATCTCCTGGAGCTCCAAAAAGCAACGCACTATTGCTCGCTCATCCACAGAAGCCGAATACAGATCAGTGGCGTCCACGGTCGCGGAAACTAGATGGATCCTCTCACTTCTTACAGAACTCGGCATCACTATCCCCTTCAACCTGTGATTTATTGTGACAATGTTAGTGTCACTCAGCTCTGTGCCAACCCAGTATTCCACTCTCGAATGAAACATGTCGCTATTGACTATCATTTCATCTGTGCCAACCCAGTATTCCACTCTCGAATGAAACATGTCGCTATTGACTATCATTTCATCAGGCAACATGTTCAACGTGGTATTCTCCAACTCTCGAATGAAACATGTCGCTATTGACTATCATTTCATCAGGCAACATGTTCAACGTGGTATTCTCCACGTCTCTCATGTCCGCTCTGAAGATCAACTCGTCGATATGCTTACAAAGCCTCTTCCATCCACGCGGTTTACAAACCTATGCACCAAGATTGGACTATCTTCCAGACACTCCATCTTGCGGGGGCATGACAGAATATAATATTTCCCGCCATCATTGTTTATCTTATTACCATGTATAGTTGTTACCTTGTTTATCTATTATCATGTATAGTTGTTACCTTGTTTATCTTATTACCATGTATAGTTGTTACCTTATAATCTACTTACCATGTATAGTTGTTATCTAATAGGTCTCTACCTGTGAGATCTATAATTACTCTTGTATTCTCCTTATATCAATTTAATTCGAAAATTATATTCTTCCTTTTATCTCTTCAGAATATAATCGCAATTTTCACCATAATTTCAAAGTTTTGATGCAATGATTATGAATTTTAAGATGGTATCACAACAAGCTAAGTTCTATTCGCACCAACCACAACTTTAAAAGCAAATTTTTAAGAAAATGGCGGCGCTACCTAAATTCGATTTTAGCCCAGCTAAGGGGCGTTCAACATGCGAGGACGATCTTAGAATGTAAGTATATAATAAATCTACCGGTTGGGGACTTGAAGAGTATGAATAGCATATTATTCATTTGAAAAGGATCGACTAATTAACAGTTACGATTACGAATGAGATAACAGTCAATCCACTTGAAGATCATAGATGAGAGAACTTGAATCCTTGTTCAAGCAAAATTCTTTTGTTGGGTTATTTGCATTTAAACAGTCCAAAGTTTACATCATTTCTAACTTTGACTTTCTGAAGTTTTCCCCTCGAAATGTTATGCAAAGTCCCAAAAACAAATTCAGTCTGATATAAATGTCTAAACGATGAGAGTAAAGTTCAAAATTTTCCAAAATTTCAGGGTACTTTTTGCGCAAAAGAAACTTCAGGGATTAAATTCTGTAATATTTAAGCGTAACAATGTCAGTCTTGCTACCAGAAGCTTCAGCGAGCAAGGAGGCAACAAAGAAAAACTCTAGGCCCTCAGTGCCTTGTCCTTAACCAAAAACAGCATAAATTCATTTCTACGTCAGAAGTGAAAGGAAACTGAAAGCATTGATTTCCGCAAGCACTCTCTTACAACATCATCACTGTGGTTGCACGCTGCAATAAAGGATGTAGGCCTCTCCAAAATGAATGAATTCATTACAACACAGAGAAACCACTTGCAGAATTCTACGCTACAACAGTTAGGCTTCAGCAAAATAATGAGAGCAAGACCAAGAAGATTATGAGCTTCAATTGCTTTATCTGCTCTCTTGCTCCCTCAACCAAGCCTTGAGACAAAACAAACAGATGAACAGCTCATCCAACTGACATGACACGGTTTTAAACTTCAACCTCTTCTGTTAATGGCGAGCGTGAAGTATATCAGAATCATCGTCCCCATGCTCGACCTGTAAATAGATGATCAATGGTAAAACAAATCATATGATTAAACAGCCAGCAGAAACTGAAAATATTTTGAGGTTTCATCTGCAAGTATAGTCACATCACATTAGAGGGAACGAGGAAAAGCACAGAAGTTACGTAGAAAGTATAGAAATTATGTAGAAAATAAGCCTAAATAAAAAGATAAGCTGAATGGCCATCGTTTATTGACTTAAACTAGAAAGCTGCGGGATCAAGATCCCCAAATCTCGTCGATTTTGAAATAGATCCCCCAAAACTTGCTATTCAGAAATTTGTACGATGACAAAATTCGCGCTTAAGAGCATATAACATGGGGTTGGATTTTATGGGGTTTGAAGCAGCCTGTCCCTTCGTAACGGTTAGAAGTGGGGGCCTCAAGACAGTGGTGTAACGGAAAAAAAAAAAGCAATACTAATTGTACTTACTTGATTGCAGATAAACGAACATATTACCAAATAGACTAATATGGTGTAACCTATGGGTTTTCGAGGACTCGTTTCAGAATATCAACTTTTGGGGTCCTTATTTGGAAAAATAGTTGAGATTTGGGGGACCCATACATTACAAAATCCTTAAAAATTCGGGTCAAAAATGCTCTTTACCTTATATTCAAGGCAAACTGAGTCCTCCTAAAAATCTAACCCCTTGAATTGAGAAATTCTGCATTGCCTTCATTACTTATGGATTAATGAAATTCTCATGTTAAAGGTTATGGCAGTCAATCGCCATTCTATAGTTCAAAACTTTCAGGAGAGTAAATTGATTATAAAATAAACTCCGCCAATGTTGTGCTTTGTTCTATTGCCAATACTGCATGTCCTAAACCAAGATAAAAGAGGAGGGTTGCGTTAAGTAGCCGACAGCCAACGTAAAATATAGTCGGATCAACATAACATGAATCCTATAGAATATTAGTTGGGGTGTCCCCACCGTGATGCATTGTATCATTGCCACCCTGATGCAAATTGCAATGACAAGTAAGCAATGGTGGTTTGCTAGGACGTTTCCCGAAAGCAACGCATTACATCGATGCCACTCCTGTGTAATGACAAGTGAGCAAGGGTGTTCTAGGAAATTAAAATCCCCTAATACATTGCCAAATAATTTTAGGCATAGACAAGAACGTCATGAGAGAGTAAATAATAGGAGACTTTTGCAAAGAATAATATTAGGTTAGTTACTTGGAATATAGGCACACTTGCTGATAAGACAATGGAATTAGTAGATATCATGCTTAGAAGAAAGATTAGTGTAATTTATTTACAAGAAACTAAATGGGTAGATGAAAAATCTAGAGAAATGGAAAAGACTGGATATAAAGTTTGATACATGGTAAAAGAGAAGAATAAAAATGGAGTGGGAATGCTTGTAGATAACATAATAAAATATGGTGTCGTAGATGTAAAAAGAGTTGGATATAGAATAATACTAATAAAAATTATTATTGGGAGTAGATGTTATTAATATTATTAGTGCTTATACATCACAAGTAGGGTTGCCCAAGAGTACTAATAGGAAATTTGGGATAATTTAGATGAATTAGTACAGGAAATTTCATTAGGAGAGAAATTATTTATATGAGGGTATCTTAATGGGCAATGTTGGTAAGGATAATATAGGGAATGAGAGGATATGTGGAGGTTTTGGGTAGGGAGATAAGAATGATATGGGAGAATCAATTTTAGAGTTTACAACATCGTATGATTTGATAATAGCAAATACACGATTTAGAAAAAGGGATGAACACTTAATAATATTTAAAAGTGGATCTAATAGTAGTCAAATAGACTTTTTTTACTAGAAAGGTGGATAGGTTACCATGCAAAGATTGTAAAATTATACCCAAAAAGAGTTTAACTACACAACATATGTTGATTGTATTAGACTTCTCTATTAAGAAGTGGAAAAGGGAAACTCATATGATAAGAATTAAATGGTGGAACTTAAAAGGAGAAAACTTAATGCTTTTTAAAAATAAGGTGATAAAAGAAGATATATGGAATATATATGATAAGACAAATATTATATGGAATGGTATGTCATCTTGTATTAAGAAGATCGCAAAAAATATTCTAGGAGAATCTAAGGGTTGTAGGTTAGATGATAAAAAGAGTTGATGGTGGAATGAAGAAGTGCAAAAACCAATTGAGGAGAAGATAACATTATATATAAATTGGCAAAAGTGTAGGAGCAAGAAAACTTTGAGAAATATAAGCTAGTAATGAAGGAAGCAAAAAAGGAGGGAGCAAGAAAACTTTTCTATTAAGAAGTTAGAA